TGTACTTTAAAAGGAGTAGAGGGTGAGGTAGTGGTGAAGAGATCTGACTTTCTTTCTTGATGCAAATAAAAAAAAAACAAAAACAAATGGCTGACAAAGTTGCTTTCTCCTCCATGTTAAAATTTCATCCCCCAAAAGTACTCACCCACACACCAAGGCCAAGGCTTCTGTAGAGTTCAAATATGTCCTTGAATGGAATATTCTGTAATTTATCATTTCTTTTTTTACTTTACCTACAATCTGTTCTTCCAGTTCCCTGATCACATAAATGAATAGCAAAGAGAAAAGGACAATGGAAGTCTGAAGAAAAAACTGTCTGTGACCTCCTGTCTTGGTTGTTATTAGTGAGTGTGTAGCCACCTATGATGAACAGATTTTAAGAGATCTGGACAGTCCACATCCACTAGAACTGACTGTTCCTTTAGGGAGTCCATTACCATTTTGTGTCACATAATGTGGCATCTTTGGCCTTACCTAACTGGACCAAGAAGGGATATCTGGACCAACAAGAGAGATATTAACCAATCTGTTGCTTGCATGCTCCAAGGAAATAGGTAAACTTGGACACTTTGGTGTAACCACCTTCTGCTAAGTACCTGGAGATGCAAAGCATGCTAATCTGCCTAGAGAGGAGAATGAAGCTCAGATGAACCACTCTGTGGTCTATACAACATAAAGTGAAGCAGAAACACTGGATTCCCTGGTACCTCATGCCTTTCCAATTCTTGTTCCTTAGGCCACCCACACTTTTTTCCTTGGTGTCTCCAGGCAGTAGAGAAGGACACAGAATGGGTGGCATTATCAATTAGGGTCCAATCAACAGACAGAAACCACATAGCAATTTCACTTTGTATGTTTTTCTATTGTTTGATAAATGTTTATACTGGGAACATTCATCTCTCATTCTGCTACAATTCCAGTGTTTGTCCTGGTCTGAGTGAGCCACATCCACCCCTGGGACAAGAGTGGGGATGGAATGTCAGGGGGATCTGCTCCCCATGAACCACAGCCTCAGTTGGGCCCACTATCATCATGCTGGGTAGGTCTCCTACCCAGGGAAATTTTACTGCCAAGGAGTTTCATTGTCACAGGGAATAATCATAAATAATCATAAATAGAGGGCTAGGTAGTGAGCCTATGACTTCCAAGACTCTTTCCACAGCTATGCTCTAGACCACCTTGAAAATGGTTTTGTGCAGCCTGTTAGGTGGCTGAGGGGGCACATGGGGTGCTTGGCCCAATTCTGGCCAACAATTCATGGTGAGTAGGTTTCCAGGGAGACCTCGCCTGTTTTTGGTGCAGGTTGGTACACAGGAAGTCATGATGTGGGGAGCTCACTTGCCTGAAAGGTGGCACACAAGCTGGAGTGCACAGTATACCTGTCAGGAGGGCGGTGGACTAATGACCATCAGATGACCAAGGCTGGTGTGGGAGCTATAGAGAGCTGGGCCTTATCAAGCTTACTAGTTGTCAAATTCTGGGATGTATGGTGTCCACTTGGAAAGTGCCTCAAACAGGGGGTCACTAGGATGAGTCAGAACTATAAGCTTGCTAAGGGTCTTCATAGTGTTGTTGCCAGTTAAGGCAGAATGCCACTGGGTGACTCCCCAAACATGCTGCCCACAGAGTGGGCAGCAAAGACTGATACAGAGCAAAACACAGGACAAAAGAACAAAAAAGAAGCCACTTCTTCCTGTAATGTCCCTATAGCACCCTCTACTGACAAAGCTTAATATCGTGTTTGCTCTCTTTAAAAATGCTTCAAGTAAAAGAGTAGAACTGGAACTGAGTAGTAGACAGGTAAGTAGTCAGGGAGGTAGGTGGATGATAGATGATAGATAAATGGCACTAGTCAGCACTCCTGAGGTCCTAGTTGTTACAATATATCAGCACCACAGATCAAAAGTCCATGACAGAGGGCTGTGCTAGGTATCTAATGTGGTAATGTGTCCCCAAAACACAGTGGTTTAAGACAGGAATTTGAGCTATCTGGCTAGACAGGTCTGGGTCTGGGTCACTCAGAAAGTTTGCAGCCAAGATATCACCTGGAACTGTAGTCATCTGAAGGCCTGGCTTGGATTAGATGAACTTTAATCCAAGACTGGTTTGACTGGAAGGTCAAGGATTTACCTCCTTTTCACATCGGACTAGCCATATGGTTGACTTAATGTCCTCCCAACATAGTCCTGGCTTCCTCAGAGTAAGTGACACAAGAGACTGGGTTAACAGAAGCAGCACTGTCCTTTAATCTAGCCTCAAAAACCACTATTAGTCACCATCATTTCTGCTGTTGCCTGTAAACCAGTCTTGATTTCATATAGATCAAGTCCATGATCACATCTGGCAGAAGTAGAGAAGCCAGGAGTTTATTGACTCCTGAGTACACAAACCCTGTACTTTAAGTCACTGTCTGCTAGCACCTTACATGACTAGTCCGAGGATCAACACAGGAAGGTCAAGAGGAAAGATTTCTCCACTTAGAGAGTGATTTTTATGTTTCAGTTCATCCATTTTCTAGTTGGGTTACTTGGGACAACTTATTTAATGTCTATAATCTTCTTCATCTATAAATGAGGATAATTCCTTCCTCATGGAGTTATCTCAAGGATTAAATAAGAAAATCCATAGTGCTTAGCACACAGTCAATGTCCAATTAATGGTAACTTATAATTGCTACAATTTTATTGGCTTCCTTATACCTTTTATCCATACAAAATGTCTATTCATTTCTCTTACAAATTGTATCCCACAGAACACCAATTTCAAGTTCCAAAATCCATTATGTCTTGGTTTGTATATAGTAACAGGGGAATCTTGCAGAAAGAACAGGAAAACAAAGCTTATTTGAGAAACAGTATCCCCCAAATACTCAGAGGATATTACACGTGAGGCATCCTTCCTGGATCTCTTATTTTGTCTACCCTCAGTTATTTTTAAGGAGTCTTTTCTCTCCTGATGATAATATCAGCTGCTTCCTGGTGACAGTCAACAAACCAACATTTCTGCCAAGTGAAAGAACTCTCTCCCATTTCAGTGACCATCATTTCTCATTCTCATATGCTTTTATCTCCTTTACCCTAACTGGCCAGAGCCATAATTTACAGCCTGACTGGCTCAGAAGGAGTGGTTATGTGCTTTGGGATCTCAGAGCTGGCTCTGCATTTGGGCTCCCTGGTAGGGAGGTCCTGGAACAATCTATCCCAGGTGCCACGTGTTGACACCTGGCAACATTATTGCCTTTTCATCCTCTCCCTCTCTCTTTCTCCCCCTCCCCTCTTCTTCCTCCTCTTCTTTCCCGCTCAATGATGTTTTATCATTTTAAAAAAATAATCTTATGCCTTTTTATCTTCACAGATATGAAAAATTTCAATTTCACTTTGTGAAAACCTTTAAATTTTAGTTTATTATTTCCAATAGAATGATGCACATAAGCATCTTCTGGCCAAGGAATGTACTACTCAGTCTTCATTTATTTAAGTGGGGAGCACCTCCAACATTCATTGTTTAACCCCCTGACACTATTAAATGCAGAAGGGGTTTGGCCCTTAGTCAGCTCAAAAGAAAAGGAGACCTTCTCTGACCATCTTTGCTGTCTGGTATGCCACCACATTCTAGACAAAGCTATGCATCTGCTTACAGGTGACCTAAGAAAGTCAGGTCTTTGTTCAATTTCATTTGATCAATTCCCTTGCCATTAATTTCTGTTTTAGCTAATCTGGACCAGAGTTTCATGGGGGAAGTTACTGGTGTCGTAAACATTCACCAAAGCAGAAGAGAAAGTTAAGATTCCAGTTTCCTAGGGTTAGGGTGGAAGAGGGGGAGGAAGAGCATTGTAGAGGAAAATCAAGACAGATGAACAATACACTCTTCTTTCCGTTCCCTTTTTTCACCCTCTTCCAAGGCAGGGGTAAGGCACATTACATCACCTCTATCTGAGTTTGCCTGGTCTATGGATATTTTTGTAATACCAGCCCAACAGAAATATAGCCTGAATTTTTCACTATTACATGCTTCTTGCCACTGACAATTATTTGACAAACTTTGTCAAAGGCCATGAGCAAGAAAACAGAAAGAAGTGGAAAAAATGAAACCCATCAGTAGCAACAGTAACAGTTTGATTTGAAAACTACCCTGGAATAAGCAATTTACCTAGTAATTATGTATGCAACACTGCTATATGCAAATCACATGCAAATATAAACACCACCTTCCATTGGGATAGCTTTTACTTTGTTTTCTCTAGCTTCTAAAGCAAATCCAATTTGAAAATGAAAATAGAAAATTACCCTATGGTGGGATAACATTTGTTTATGCACCTCAGCAACTCTACCAATAACCCCAGCAGTGCCCATAAATCAAGTGAAGTATTTTGTTCAGGTTGAAGAACTGTGTGACCTGAAGTATGGTAGAAAAACTGGTAAAGTTTAAGGGTATACCTGTGTGTGTCTGCATAGACCTGAGAAAGTGAGTGACCCTTCTTCCAGGAAGCTTTCCTAGTTTATCAGTGTTATGTACTGCAGAAGACCACAGAATAAGTTAGTTCCCTCTTCTCTGCATTCCCAGCTTAATAATGCTTAACAAATATGTTCTGAATATATGAAGAAGCTGGTACAGAAATAACTGACACAGCAAAATTCACAGACAAGCCAGTCATACAAGACCACAATAGATTAAGATTTAAACATGCATTTCACTAGCTGTCAACTTCAGGAATGCTCCCTCATTGTCATCCCTGCCCCAGGTATTTTTAGAACAAAACAACAAAAATAAAGAAAACTGCCAGCAAAAAGGTGGTGAATTTAATATTCTGAATAAGACTGTGAGGAATTACAAAGTTGGCCTTCCCCACAAACATTTGTTTCCTATACTTAAATAAGAATACCACAGAGTTACTACATTTACTATTAGAAAAAGAAAATCTTAATAATTTAAAGAAAAAACAACTTTATTTTGATTTGTTGGTTAACATTTCTACCTTGGAGCAGCCACCCCAGACCTACCTGGGCAGGAAAGAACCAGAAGAAGAGGTTGCTGTTGTAAGTCTTATTCACAGTGATGTAGCCAGCGTAACTCTTGATATTTGATCCAGGGAAAGGAGCAACCAAACTCAAATGTTTCCCTAGTGAGGTTAAAAAAAAAAAAATGAACCAAAGATTAGAGAAATAAACCAGTGTTAGCACTCTCAGCCAGACTTTCCCTGAGGCCAGGTCTGGGAGGGGCCATCAGAAAGGCTACTCTAGTGGGAAGTGGCATAAGACACCTGCTGCAGCAATTCCAGCCAGCCCTGGGGAACTCCATATTTGTTGTTCACAAGTCAGAGACATTTTTAAGCATTTTTGTTGTTGTTGTCATCCAAATATATATTTTTTAAGAAATAAGGAAAATTACATACATAGCTCCACTCTAAAAAGTAAACCAACTAAACCAAACCCACACTGGTCACTCAGAAGGCCAGGGCAGATATGTCACCTGACCCCAAAGACAGGGGGGCAAGAGAAACAGCCCTGCAGAGACCTGTGTTAGCCACACTCTAGTTTTCATGAAAGTGAAAGGCCTACCTCTCCACACAGGGAAAATGAGGTATATAGGGAAGAGCTGAAGGGTCTCATGGAACAACTGTAGAGAGCAGAGGTCTTGGCTTTCTTTTTGTATCAAAAGGTCAGGGACAGGATTGAGGAGGAAAGAGGGAATGCTCAGATAACTGAGGTCTCATAACAGTAAATATAGTAATAAGAACACACACTTGAGAGGTTACTGTGCCACAGACCTTATATTATACAGTAGTATAATTATTGTTGCCACTTTACAGATGAGAAGACAAACACAGAGAGGTTAAATAACTTGTCCAAGTTTACACAGCTAGTAAAAGATTGCTGGGATTGGTTTACTTATTTTAAATATTTATTTTATTTATTTATGCACACAAGAACTGGTGGTGGTATAGGCCAGTGGCGTGGGGGAGGCAAGAGCATTCACCAGAGACAGTGGGAAGCAGAACAAGTGGACCTTCTGAAATACATGCTTAAGGGAGCAGTGGGCGAGACAGGAGAGGTTCACTAGCTCCCTGGCTAGGCACTGAACTCATGTCTCAGTGGCTGGCTTTAGTTTTAACACCTGTACCACCGGGGGGCCTAGCGATGTGCTTCAGAGTTTGCACTTCCCTTATCTTCCTGCTCTGCTTCTCAAATAGAGGACAGGTCTGAAAGTGAAGGTAGCAGGGATTGAAGGGGAAGGAGTGGTTAGGAAAGGAGTAGAGAAGGAACAGAAAATAGGCAACAGGGTATGTGGGGGAAGTGAAAGAGAAGTGTGGGTGGAGAAGAATGATTTTGTAGTGACAAAACAAATTGCCCCCATTAAAAAGTAATCATGTGAGAAATGCTATGAAAACTGAGACATGTGAAGTTGGGGAAAGAAAGTTGTCATATGATCATGCTGTTCCCTTTCCATAGTGTCCTGCTGGGTCCTAGCACTACTTCTGCCCTGTTCTGTGACCTTGGCGCCATCATTCAGCTTTTCCCATGTATAGAAGGTGGATTATCTTAGGAGCTCACACATGTGAAACCTGTAGGAAAGAAATGGGGAGAACTGAGATTGTCATTTGCAGAATGTATCACTCACTAGGAACAGAGAACACCTACAGGATATGGTGGGGACAAAGGAAAGTTCTTCAGGAGCTATTCTAAAAGATCCTGTTAGGTTAGCACGTTAGCAAGAACTTGGGCTTACTGTGGACAAACCTAGGTTTGCAATTCTGGAAAGACTCCCTAGCAAGTGGCTTCAACTCTCTGAGCCTCTCTTTCTTTTGTGCAAAATATGGATACAGATTTCTCCATCCTGGGCTTTCCATGAGAAACAAAATGAAAACACACACACACGCACACACACAGGAACTCACAGCGCAGAGCTGGACATAAAGTTCAGGTAATGGGAGGGAGATTATTATTAGCCTGTGGCCACCCTGAGTACAATCTGTAGGTCTAGAGGAATTTGCCTTTTTCTGGCTAACTTCTGTCCCTCAAGAAAAGACTGCTAAATCCTACCCCTCTAGTTCTTTCCATTCTCTTCCCAGAGACCTACCTCTCCCTGTCAAAAAAAGGCAAAGAATGGCCCTCCCTGGTGGCGCAGCGGGTTAAAGCACAGCACTGAGAATCTAAAGCCGCTTCCGCATGGGTTCGATTCCCGCCTGCCCCGGAGGTGACCACATGGCGTGGCAGACCTCTCCTGACCCGCCCGCTGCTCCCCTCAGCAGTGTACTTCGTCGATCTGCCTGTTCTGCTCCCCTCTCTGTCTCTGGTGAAGCCTCTCGCCGCCCCTGAGCCTCTGGCCTGTACCCCAGTTCTGTATGCAAAAATAAATCTTTAAAAAAAAAAAAAAGCAAAGAAAAAGAAAGAATTTTTTTTATAAATAAGAAATAGTAGTTAATCATCTTCAATTATTTTTTGTATCTTATCAGCAGTACCAACTATTTTATTTTTCTTTTATTTCTCTTTTATTATTTTATGTATTTCTTACATCATTCTTCATTTTTACATTTTTATACAATGAATGCTTTATCATACCCATAAAATTCCCACCACCAATTCTGGGAGAGGAAGGAGTAGGATCAAAATAGGAGTGGGAAAAGTACAAGGGACTATGGTGAAAAAGGAGGATTTTAAGCAAAAGAAAAGGAATATATTTAGGGGAACATAAGGCATGACCCCACCACCCCACACTCCTGCCCTTCCATCCAGCAGCCATGCTACCCCTCAACCTTCCTACGCTTCCACTCTGAATTAGCCCAAAGAAGGCTCACTCTTCAGGGTTGGGCTGCCTTTAAAATACTTCTGAAAGTTGTTCTGCAAACCTATAAATCTCCTTAAAATCAAAGATACCATTGTCCTCTCAAATAAGGGGTTGAAGCTAGTGAAGAAAAGTGAAAACTGAGGGTTCAGAGCTGAGTGAGTCATGAATCACAGAGGGCTGAGGGATAGAAAAGCATTTGAGAAATAAGACAAGGATAAATGAGAAAAGGCAAAATGGAATGAGAAAAAGAAACATAATTAAAAGAAACTGGAAGAAGTGGGCCCTCCCTGGTGGAGCAGCGGGTTAAAGCACAGCACTGAGAAGCTTAAGCCACTTCTGCATTAGTTTGATTCCCGCCTGCCCGGGAGGGAGGTGACCACATGGCGTGGCTGACCTCTCCTGACCCGCCCACTACTCTCCTCAGCAGTGTACTTTGTGGATCTGCCAGTTCTGCTCCCGGCTCTGTCTCTGGTGTATCCTCTCACCCTCCGGATCTCTGGTCTGTACCCCAGCTCTATATGAATAAATAAATAAATCTTAAAAAAAAAAACTGGAAGAAATGGAATAGGGGGGAGGAATGATGGGCTATTTCTCCAAGGCCAATACAGCACAAGGTCTGCTGGCCTCTCTTCTTGAAGGTATCAGAGTTGTTCTGCTATCTTATATTTCTTTGGGTACATTTTCTATCTTCCCTTCTAGAGCAGGGGCTACTGAAAAGCAGGAATTTGCCTTGCTTACCTGTACTTCAGTGAACAAATCATTCTTTTTTATACAGATAAAACACTTTCATTCTTTTTTATACAGATAAAATATTTCCAAGCATTTTTGTTAGTGAACGAATGTTAATGAGTGGATAAGTGAATGAATGAATGAATGAATGAACGAATGAATGAACTAAAATGGGACACCCTGTTAGTGTGCTATTAACTTATTTCCACAAAGACCTTCTAAGGAAGAAGGCCTTATCACACTTTAAGAAACTTTTTAAAAAGAGATTTATTTATGCATACAGAACTGGGGTACAGGCCAGAGGTGCAGGGGCAGTGAGAGGATTCACCACAGACAGAGAGGGGAGCAGAACAGGCCAACGGACAAGCACACTGCTGAGGAGAGCAGCAGGTGGGTCAGGAGAGGTCTGCCACACCATGTGGATCACCTCTGGGTTGGGGATCGAACTCATGCTCAAGTGGTTGAACTCATGCTCAAGTGGTTTTAGCTTCTTAGTACTGTGCTTTAACCAGCTGTGCCACCACGGAGGTGGCACTTTAAGAAACTTTAAAAAATGTTTCTCTGTCCCACAGAAAGTGTTTCACCCAGCTGCAAATTTAAATTTCCTTTGGTTAAATCACAGTAAAATAACTTAAAGGTTTTTCAACTAGAACAAATCAGGGTTGCATTTGAATACCCAGATTTGTTTTTTATGTTTTGAAAATATATTATTTTATATTTTAAAATATTCTGTTCTCGGCCCTCCCTGGTGGCACAGCAGGTTAAAGCACAGCACTGAGAAGCTAAAGCCACTTCAGCATGAGTTTAATCCCCGCTGACCCCGGAGGTGAACCACATGGCGCGGCAGACCTCTCCTGACCCGCCCGTTGCTCCCGTAAGCAGTGTACTTCCTCAATCTGCCTGTTCTGCTCCCCACTCTGTCTCTGGTGAATCCTTTCACCGCCCTGTACCCCAGTTCTGTATGGATAAGTAAATAAATCTTTTAATAAAAAAAATATTCTGTTCATTCTTCCAGAATCTATTCATGGAACGTGAAAAATAAACTCCCAAGATGTAGGAATTTCTTTCCTCCTAGAACCATGACTCACAACACAAATGTTTGAAACAGTTAAAAAAAAAAGGGAAAAGGTTTCTTTGAAGTGATTTCACTTCCTCCTTGTTATTTAATGCTACCAGTGCCTGTGATATTAACACTTTCAAAAGATTGGAGGATGACCAAAAAAGGGCTGAAACTAACTTATCAGGGTGTACTTCAGAGATGTAAGACTTGGGTATTATTAGTACTGGCAAGACTTTACCAGACCTTAAGCAAAAATAAATTAAGACCTAGTAGCAAAGTATTTAACATTTGTGAAAATGCAACATTTATAAACATGCTAAATTCTTTATTTTTTTTTTCTGGAGTAAGGATTTTTTCTAGCTGTAGAGAAAGTAAACATGCAATTACAATTACACAACACTAAAACAACTAATTGAGGATTAAAAATAAAAATTTCCCTTGTCTTTTTGTGAATTATTGTTTATCTCAAAAATGTTCCATTGCAGTAGTGAGACTGACATTCCTAAGCTCTTGACAGACTCGATAAACAAAAGGGATTTAGGGGAGGGAGATGACCATCTGTCCAGAGTTTCCTGAACTTTCAGTAAAGCGGATGAATAAAATTATTCTTAATTATGTTGTCAGGGTTGCATTTGAATACCCAGATGTACCAGATTCTGGATAAGCCACTTAAAATTCTGTTCAAAGACTTTGCCTGTGTAAACGAACTTTAGAAACTGACATTACATCAGATGTAATATTTTAAATGTTGTCACTGATCAGCTGGTGATCTGTCAGGCTTGGCACAAAAGGAGAAGATAAAACTACCTGCCTCTCAATGTTTCTTTGCTACTCTTGACAATCATGCAATGAGATACTCGTAGGCAAGAAATACAGGAGCAGAAGTTCCATGCACAATCTCTCCAGTGGATTTCCCTGTATCTTTTTACTTAGTGCCATCAGATGTGTAACACACACACATTTCCCCTGCTTACTTTCACTTAGTGTCTTTTTTGAGTTGGTTTTCTTGCTCAGTGTTCACAGGTCATTTTGTGCTTATCTAAATCTTAAACTTAACATTCTCAAGCTTGGCCCTGGTCACATACTACAGTAGTTTAGACTTGGGGCTAATACAACAGATACAGGTTTTGATTCCAGCGCTTCCATTAACTAGCTTTAAACAGCTCTCAGCAAGATACTTAAGATCGTTAAGCCTCAGTTTTCCCATCTGTAAAATGGGAATTAATAATTATGCCTGCTTTGTTAGTGCTGCTTTGAGGATTAAATGAGTTTGTTTGTGTACAGCACAATGCCTGGCACATACTTAGGTCCCAAGTTTAAATTCTACAAATATTTATTGAATGCCTATTACATATAGGGACTTTGCTAGGAATTATATCCCCTCTGCCAGATACAGGACATACAATTACTAAATGTTATTTTTAGTATTACTATCAGTGTCTTTTCCCTGGATTATGTCAAGCAATAGAGATAGTTTCTTTCTAAATATTGCAACATGGCTACCTCAAATGTAATACTTTAGCACTTTATCTCATGCAACATCTTTCTTTAATTTTTTCATGTCTGTGGTCTAGTTATACTTGAAGAGTACAATATCCTCACACCAAAGGAAACAGATTATAGCAGGCAGATTACAGACAAGTCAAAAAATTTGGTTTCCTCTCAGCAATTCCACTTCTGGGAACGAACCTGCTCAAAGACAAAAAACATTAATTTGAAAAGAAACCTGCACCCCTCTGTTAACTGCAGCACTGTTTATAATAGCTAAGATATGGAAACAACCTAAGTGCCTAAACACAGCTGACTGGATCAAGAAAATGTGTACATACAGTGGAATAGTACTCAGCAATCAAAATAGATAAACTCATGTCATTGGAAGCAAAATGGATGGAACTGGAAGATTATGTTCAGTGAATTAAAGCAGAAGGTAAAAAAAAGTATATCAGATAGCTTCACTTACAGGAGGAATACAAGGAAACTGAACAAAAGTAAAGAAAAAATAGACCAACTTTCAGGCAAACTATAGATAGAATCTGAAGAATACAGCAGCAGGGGAGGGGAAAGAAGAGGGCTCAAAACAGGGGAGGGAAGAGCACAAGGGATTATGGTGAAGGTTCACAGGTTGCTACAATGGTGGGAGATTTATGAGAACTACACCTGAGGGGATAAATGAAATACTATACAAAAATGAACAAGAATGTAAGAAAATTTAAAAAGTTTAAAGAAAAATCAGGGTCCTAAACCTATCTCTGCTTTCACCCCCCCACCACCACTACTGGATGATGGCTATCAGCAAATACATTATCTGTTACCTTCTTAAAGATTTCTTCTGACCCCATAGCTCCCTCCAGCTACCACCTCATTTCTCAGCCTCCTTTTTCACAAAAAGCTCCTCAGAATGACTACCTATACATACTCTTTTATAGTTCAAGGTCCTACTGAGGTCCAGAAAGATTAATTTATCTGAACAGCAATTTATGTTTAAGCATGAAGAAGCATGAAATGCAAAGGAAGTTCATAAATGTTAATCTCTGACAACACCGAATAGCATATTTGACTTCTTAATAATGATAACAATAGAAAACCCACAATTGCTACATAAACACTAACATTAAGAAAAAAGAATTTACAGCTTATATAGCATTTTCATGTACATTTTCTCATCTGATTTGCATAACATACCTGTGACTTGTATAAATATTATAACTCCATCTTTTTCATGGGGAAACTTAGGCCTAGGATGATAGGTGCCTAGAGTGAGGCTGTCTGGATAGGAATCCAGCATCTACCAGCTGGTGTCCATGTAATTCTGACGTCATCTCCTTCTGTTTCAGTTTTCTTGTGTATAAACTAGGTAAACCTCTCTGGGTTGTTGAGATGCTTAACGTGAGTTCATGTAGAATACTTGGAACCAATAACTGGCTTGTTGCAAGTTCTAAGGTTTAGCATTAACTTTACTAAATGTCCAGTTGTTGTGAAAAGCACAATATTAGTTTTTATAAAGAGAAATGCAAGAATTCATACACATTGATTATCTGGTCCCCATGAATTCTCATTTTGGCTCAAAACTCTGATAATATGTGACATCTAATCATGTGTACTTAAAGTAAAACAATTTGGTAAAATAACAGAAAGCATTCTGGATCCTAAGGGATGACTGAATTAAAAAAATTCGAAAGGGGTTTTCTGATTTAATCAAACATACCTTCTACGAATTTCCCAGCTTCAATATAAGGAGTAAGAAATAATGGCTGTCCTGCATCTCCTTCAACTGGTACAGAGACCTTGACATTTTTATATATGGAGCGAAACAGCCCATTGCCTCCTGGGCTTAGTGTGAACAGGATCAGCAAAACAACTGAGTTCCACATGGCACCAATGGTCCGCTCTAGGCCTAGGATGACAACAATAACATTGCACAAATGAACCCAGAGGGTAAATGAGTACACATTTATCTAATCCTTTTACACATGACAGATTTATTATATACACAGATACATAAAAAGTTTATAAAAGCCTTTGCTAAGCTTCTTGGATACCACCTAAATAAGAGCATCTATTCACCCTGAAGTTAACAGTCTAATGTGGAACACTTCAAGATATTAACAATATAATTGGAGAAACAACATAAACTTCTATAACTCTTGCCTGAAAAGTAAATTCCATGTAGATTAGATAAAACCTCAAGACATCAGGACTCTAACTGGTCGCCAAATGAATGATAAAAGCAGTTAGTCAATTATCAGAGGGCAGAACAACTATGAGGCTGTCTGAAGGCCTTATCCAGGTGGGATGTGAATATAAATGCTAGACTCAGGTAAGCAGGGGAAGAATGGAGCTGGCCATTGGGGTAAACAACCTGAGCAAAAAGGAAACCAGAGTAATCTCCCTGGGCATTTTGCAGGAAGATTTTTAAAAAGGCAAAATTAATTTCTAACAACCAATTCTATCATTTGCAAATCACCAAACAGCAAGAAAGAGAGAAGAATGGTGACAAATGGCATCTGGACTTCAAATGATGATCACAATGCTATGTATAGATGCCAAATTATAAGGCTATACAGCCAACGTTTATATAATATTATAAACCAATGTTACTATAATAAAAAATTTTAAAGTGATAAAAAAATCAAGCAGAGGGCCCCTCCCTGGTGGCGCAGCGGGTTAAAGCACAGCACTAAGAAGCTAAAGCCACTTGCGCATGAGTTCGATTCCCGCCTGCCCCGGAGGTGACCACATGGCGTGGCAGACCTCTCTTGACGCACCCGCTGCTCCCCTTAGCAGTGTACTTAGTCGACCTGCCTGTTCTGCCTCCCACTCTCTCTCTGGTGAAGCCTCTCTCCGCCCCTGAGCCTCTCGCCTGTTCTGTATGCACAAATAAATAAATCTTAACAACAACAAAAAATCAAACAGAAAGGGCAAGTCCTACAACTACCTTTAGGCCCTTACCTCTAGAGCTAGCTGATAAATAAACTTTAAGAATTAGGCATCAAATTTTATTAGCAAGATCACTAAGGATTTTCAAATCTCTTAAATACTTAGAAAATTCATATGAACTAAGTAATAATGGATTAAGATTGAATGGGGATTTTAACCAAGTAAATATCTAAGTAAGTACTTCTATCACTCAGATTTATAGATGCAAAACTACATACACAACTATGACAACATAATGCCTACTTTTGACTGCTTGGTACTTAAAATACCAAGTCATTAAAACATCTTAAAAATACAAAATGTGTGAAAAGTCGATATTTATCACAACTCAATTTGACATAATATGAATATATTGGTCATAACAAATTTTAAAAATTCTTCAGTCACCTTTCCTGATCAAGATCAAAGTTTATAATTATAGTTTGTCTGAATATATAATGTTTGTAAAGTCTGTCATGGTTAATACAATGTCCTCTAATGTGTAAATATGTCCAACCAAAATCAACAGACAACTAAAAACTGCTTTTGTCTCTTATTGACTAAAATAAGGGGGGATAATGAATTTAGAATCCGAAATTAAGTTTCAAAGAAGCCCAAGAGTAAAGAACACTATGACATTGACAAAATGTTTTTTTTTTAAATTGTTATTACTGGTATTTTAATAACATTGCCACTTTTAAGGAATGCATGGAATCAACAACTTACTCTCTGGTTCAGGGGGAAAAAAATCTGTAGTACTAAAAATGTACTAGAAGCTCTTCCAGTAAGAGGTTCTTTCCTGGGGGCAGAAACAAGAAACTAATCATGCCCTCTAATTTTTCAATCTTCTTACTGCAAACCTCCAGCCTCTTTTAATGGAAGTCATTAATATTTAAATAACCAGAGTAGTTACAGCACTTGCCCTGTAAGCAGATGTTGACTCTAAGATGTTAAAGAAAGAGGTAAAGCTGGTCTTATATTAATTGACATAAATCTAATACATAAAAGTAAGAGTTGGGTCAATTTGGTAGATCTCATTAACATTTAATCAAATAACTATGAGAGTCACGGTTTTTCATGTAGGTGAATTATAGCAACCACATCCTTCATTCACAATTTTCATTTAACAGTCAGAATTCCTCAGCTGTGCTCAGCTGTCATCCCCCCCTAATGAAAATGAAAGCTATTAACATGAATCAAAGTGTTTTTTTCTTAATATCCGCTCAAATGTTTTTGCTTGTCCAAAATTAGCCCAAATCTTTCTATTTATTGAACATTTATTACGTACTTTCTAAACTACCCAACCCTGTATTAGAACTTTTGCCTGTAGAAAATGAAAAATATATTAACTATATTCTTTATCATACTTGGAAATAATATGAAACCATTCATGCTATTTTCAGTTCAAATATATCATATTGAAGTTTCCAGGCAAACTGTTCCTCATAATAAATGCTTAGAAACATAATAAAATCTAGACAAATACAAAGCAATATTAGCAGAATCAAATAACCTAAATGTCAAAGATACATGATTTGCCAAAATTGTCTTACTGAGCCTTAAATGTTAGAGCTGAAAACCATTTTTTCAATGTATAATTTCTTCATATACACAGTTACTTATCACAATGTTTTTTGGAATAATTAAAACTTTCAACACTTTAAACAATTTAAGATAAGCTACTATACACCAAAAAGATGGAATTATACACAGCAATTACAATGACTCTACTAAGTCAAATATTAGGTAAAACAAAGCAGTCTATTAAAATGGTATAAGATATTTTCCCCTTATTTTATCCTTAAGAATTTCTACATGTTCTACACTGGTCAATCTTATAATTAGACAAAACAGTCTGGATCTTGCTTTTTTAAAAAGTAAAGTGAAGCAACTGAGAGACATGGCAGAAAGTGCTTGTTCCTTATTCCTTATTACTACCTGGTTATGACCTCTTGTGTTTCCTTGGAATAAGGATTCTCTTTGTTTTCTCATAATAGGTTTTTCTTTCTCTAACATTCTATGGAGATAGTTCCTGGTCTCTTAAAGTCATAGAGCCTCAGAAACTCAATGTAAATTTTTGCTAGTATAGTAGAAGTCTGTGCCTGAACACGAGGTGTTGTTTAATAATAATTATCATATTTGTATTTCATTCTTCCTCGAGTAGAATCCATGACAAATGTGCACATAAATGGTCTTAAGGAAATATTCGTTGAACTAATACATCTAAATAATGAATTGTGATACTTTAGAACTATTCTATTAGCTATGCATGTGGTCCAATTGCTGGCTCTTACAAACTAGATAAATGAGCACACAAAAAAGTGACTAACTTTATGGTACCATTGATGAGTGGGCACTAGGTCCAAGACTCAAAGCCAGCATTTACTTATAGCTCTAAATTGAATCTGTTTTCTACATTCCTATCTTTGGTTACAATTATATTTGAATATTTTGACTCTTACCATCACAATAGGAAATATCAGCCTTTAATAATCTTGAACACCTTTCAAGGATCATGAGAGAACACAGTAAAATAAATAATAAATGGGAAAAAAATAAGTAACACTTTCCTGAGACATTTGGTTTTTAGAAATAGTTAATGCAAATGCAGATTCTGCTTTTAGTTCATTCAGTGGACCTGGTAAAGAGGAAGATCTCTGGGTCCCAATGGACAGGTGAGAAACAGATGTTTTCATTTTTAGTAACTTTGAGAGTCATTTGTTTAACACAGTTCCTATTAAAAATTAAACTATAAAAACTTACAGATTATTTTAAGAAACATAAGTAATAAATACTCAAATATTATCCCATCTAGTTATTTTATTACATTTTCCTATTTCCAGTGCTCTGGACTTACCTATCTGGTGAACAGATTATATAGTAGTTTGTACTCTGCATATTTTCTAATGCCATATTCAATAACATCTTGTTGACAGCTTGGAATCAGCTATGGTGGGAATACTTACAACAGAGAAATGGGGAAACACCACAAACCAAGGTTCTTTTTCCCTAGCTAGGAAGCTAACTGTTAGACATTTACCTATACATGTTGGTCTCATGTTTCTCATTTGAAACATGAGCTGGAAGTAATCTTCAGCAATTCACACTCCAATTCTAATTTAAATGATCAGCGAAAGAGACAAAAAGAGAAAATTTGCCAAGATGTCATCTGTGTGTAGAAGTAACCAGAAACATGCCCAGATAAGCAAGTCCTTAGGAAAAGGAACCTGAGATCCACTGGAAGATATATGTTCTATTGATGAAAAAAAGAATCGAAACCAAAACTCCAGAATAAGAGTGAAAAACCACCTTTCATCTTTTCTATGTTCTCTGCTTCCTTTCCCACCTCTCCCTTTTATATCATGGATTATTCCAATACAAGGATAAAAACTATTCATGTAAGAAATGTTAACATTGCAATTAAAACAGCTACTTAAATTGCCCTTACATATTTAACTGACTTTAACAGCTCTCAGCATAAAACATTCCCTCAAATAAAATCAGGCCAACTAGTAAGAGCCATTTCCATGAAATCTGTAATAAAAGAAAGGTACAAGAGAGTGGTTATTCTATTTGAAAAAGATTCAGTAACCTCTAAAGATTATTCAAGCATAGCCAAAGCATTTAGATACTGTAATTAAGGGCCATTGTACAACACTGAATTAAATACCAACCCAAATTCAAATTCTAGCTATTTTGTTAAAGGCTTTACAATGCAAACAAATGGTGAGAGAGAGAGCTACTTTTATTTTGAGGGATTCCCTATTCATCTTTCTTACGATATCATTTTAATTTCTAAAATTGATATTTGAAGGGCTCTTTCCCCAAAGAGGACATAGTACATAACACACAAGGCAAAGGAAAACCTTTTGCTAAAGTGGCACCGAGACTTACATGCCTATCTCCTTTTCACAGGCTGCCCCCTGGCATCAGACAGTAGTGTCTAATCTTGCTAATGAATTCGTTTACCCTATCTCT